AACAAGGCAACGTGTTAAAACTTTCTTGTTTTGGAAAACAAAACTCCAGTTACATCTTGTATTATCGAAGTTAATACTCCTAGATCTTTATAAGTTTTTGTACACTTTGTCATTATGTTATGAATTATAGGTGAAGACATGGTTTACACTTAACGAGCCATATTTGATGAGTCAGATGATGTATGCGAGTGATGGATCAGGCACAAAGGACTACCTGGCAGCCCATAACATGCTGCTGGCCCATGCCGAGACTTACCGCATGTATGAGAAGGAGTTCAAGCTCACACAGAATGGTAAGTGTCAGGTCAGTGTGAATAATCTTTAACTTTGGAGCGGGACTGGGTCACGTGACTATCTTACATTCATGTGAAGCAAAAGGAGAAAAGTAAATTACGGTGCTTCGATATACCGTCAAATTTCACCAACTTCGCGAAGATTGCAATTCCAAAAAATATTTGATTACCAATCCTTCGTGTCTTCGTCACTTGTGATAACATATACTCGTATATGTTTTATTTGGTCAATGAATACAATCACTTTCACTGTAGGGCATTCAGTAAAGAAAACTAGTAACGTCTGCAAATTGGTACTCCGATCACATATCATCCTATATATCATTTCAAATTGTGAACGTTCTCTATCACAAGCTGTGCCTGTGGTGAACTAATTCTGGTGGTCACTGGAGTTAGTTATCAATATCTTTCACTATATTTTTACTTTATTAAAAAGTGTCAGAATCTTAAACAGGGAGCTTTCCATAAGCAATGTAAACCAATCTGGTCTGGTACTGCTACTGTAGGCTATTTCACAGGGAAAGTGAGTATTGTCTTGTACTCGGAGTGGATGGAGCCGAAGCAAGCTGGAAGTCCCTCGGATATATCAGCCTCTGAGCGGGCAATGGAATTTAGGCTCGGCTGGTTTGCTGAGCCAATATTTGGCAGTGGTGACTACCCAAATGTTATGAAGACTCGTGTGGCCGAGGCCAGTCGTGCTCAGAACCTCAGCCGCTCCAGACTACCAGAGTTTACAGCAGGACAGCGCTCAATGGTCAAAGGTACATAACTTGTATGTGCTTGTTACAGAAATCAATTATTGCCATGTTAAATTTTCAGACTGCGATGTATATATCAAAATGTGAAATGTTGAATTAGATGTAATATTTCTATTGTTCTTTTTATGTATTCAATATCCCCTATATTTGCCACAAAGATAAATGCATTAAGGACTTTCCACCCTTCGCAATACACATGTTTTTCTTGTCATATTTTCGTGTCGTCATTTCCGTATTGCGTATCGGGCATTCCATTACCGCAGTGTAAATTATAGTAACACCGGGTAAACAAAAGTACACGTGTTGTAGATATTTTATGATAAATAAAATATTTGTAGGGTTGATTAGCAATGTTTCTTTTCATTATTTTATTGTTGTAATTGTTTTGAACACTGCCACACGCTCAAAAAATATGAAAGTGTTGAATTTGACAAAAAATATTTTTTTCGGTATTTAAAAAAAAAAAAAAAATCCCCAGTTTATCGGAATGCTTAGATTATCATAAAATCATCTCTACATAGTTACATAACCATCATGTGAAACTTTCACTGAATTCTGATGGCTAATTGCGAAAGGGTGGAGCCTCCTTAAAAACAAATATTTTTGTCTCTCTCATTACTAAAATTTGGCACACTTGAAGTGTTTATAAAAAAAAGAACTGACAACGATGGTTGTGTTACTGCAAAAAACAAATATTGGCAGGTGTGAATACAGGAAGGACAGTGTTACATACTGTAAGGTATCGATGCAAGAAGGACAGTGTTACATACTGTAGTTTATCGATACAAGAAGGACA